TACTGTATTAATTTTTGGTAAACTTTAGCATTATTTAATGTAATATTCTGCTTTGGATACAAGAAAATGCAGGTGCCTCAAAATGGTCTACTGCACCCTCAAAAAGATAATAAACAAAGTTTATACCTTTTCAAGAGGGTCTTTATTTTAAGCAGTGGCCGATCCTAGAAATTGAAAAAGAGGGGGCCCAGGGATAGACTTTCATAGACAGAGGGTCTAGATCCCCTCAGTCCCACCATGGTTGGGGCTAAGGTAAGAAATTGTATGATTATGTCACTTCTAGATGGCTGGAAATGGCACTCTCAGACCTAAATTTTAATATAATTATTGTCTTTTTCTCTATTTTCTTTTTTTGTAATTTGTGAAAGATTTATCGGAGGGGACGCCTCATTGAATTTGACACTGACCCAATAAACATAGTGTACAGTATTATATTGATCTACTGTCATGTCTCCATTTGGACACTGTAGTGTCTCCATTAAATGTAACTCAAGTGCTAAAGACATCACATTAATGGATTGCCTGACACTTGTCCCAATAATGACTAACATTACTTAAGATATTTAATGCAATAGTAGGATGTTTGTTGGCCTAAAATAAACACAAATCTGTTACATATCATCACATACAAGATAAATCATTGGTCTTTAAGTACACATCATGAAGGTGTGCTTTTGAGGTTAAGCCTGCCCTTGTAGGGCATCAGAATGTATGTAATGTTTATCTGGCCTCCAGCAGAGCTCATCAGCAAGCTAGATGAGCTCCTTTGGAAGACATTTATCCAGGTCAGTCTTAATGAGGCTGTTACTTATCTACTGAGCATCAGCTCAAGTTCAAGGTAAAACACCTCAAATTACTGATACAGTCAGACATTCTCATGGCTTATTTTAATCTACCATCATCTTATCTCAGCTGCTTATGTTATGGTGAGACAGGCTCCAGATTTCAGAGAATTTTTTTCTTTTTTTTAAAAATATAAGCCTCTCTATAAATATTAAGTATTAGCTGTAAATTATATGTAAACTACAATAGGTGTGACTATGTAGTAATACTCTCTATAATACAGTAGGCCCTACTGTTGCACAACATTAATTTTCTGTTTTAAAAGTGTGTAAAAAAAAAACAAAATAAGAACATTTTGAGACTAAAATCTACAAAAAAAAATAAGAATACTGAGCTTGGGCAAAAATTTACTGGTTCTTATAAAACAAAAGTACAGATGTTCTAGGCTTTTATCCTTTTCAGTTATTTATACACATATGTGGCAAAGACAAGCTAAACCAGTTAGTGGTCACAAAAAAATCGATTTTTAGTTATTAATACAGGGCTAAACAGTAAAATGACACTACAAAATGGTAAAGGAATCATTTAAATCAGACATTTCCTTAAGAAGTTACAAGCGTTTAAACATAGAGCTGTTTACAGAACAATATTTGAGAAATCAGTCTTTAAAGGTTATGATTTCAGGCATTTCTCAGGCAAAGATTATCACCACATTGTTAAAAATTGCTGTTTTAACATTGAAAATGAGAAAAATAACAGCATAGCATGATGTATAGATATATAAAGGTTAGTTTAGTGCAATAAAATAGATTTAAAAAAAAAATGTTGACATTCCAGCATGTTTTGGCCAATCTCTCTGATCATGATTTGCGATGAGTGACTGGTTTGGCTTGTCTTTGCCACATATACTGTAGGTCTGAAGTAAATTAAATTAATATTAGTAAACTTAGGATCCATATTTATAGTCAGAAAATGATAAATAAAAAAAGAACACTATTTTTTGATAAAATTTAGCAAAAATAACAATGACAAAAACAATAATAATAAATATATTGTGCCTGTAATATTATAATACAAAAATCAAATTATGAAGAATAAATTAGGTATAACTATAATTCATTATAAATTATTATGTATTTTATTTTAAAAAGAAAAAAAAATTAAGCCTAGATTTATTAGATCAAAATATTAGGCCTACTGTACATAATTCACTCAGATTAAAAATTAAAAATTACATTGGATAAAAACATAATGCATTTAATATAAATCAAAAGGGGAACAAGGATTTGTCTTGAAGTAAGATCCTTTATGATAGTGTTGCTTACTCATGTTGGACCATCAATCTTTTAAGCAAGTTAATAAACCTAGTTAACTGACCTATCTGACAACACAAATAAAAATTCACAGCACAAACACAGGTTCCAATATCAACGATGGACTTGCATAAATTCTACACGCACACTCCATTAATGGGAATCCAGTAATTCCCATCTCCCCTCCCATTCATAAACAAAGTACTTAGTAGTAAATTCGCAGCAACGCTTAATGCCACGTGATAGCGTAGCATCTTTCCCACCATGACTCAGCTTAATCCAATTATGCTCACAGCGAGACACCCCTGACCAAAGCAGTGATGCTATCTCTAGTAAGTTATCTATGGAATATAAAATTTATTTTTGGTATACTACTATATTGGGAAAAAAGCTGGCTAAAAAA